GGCTGGAGCTGACACTGGAGCCAGGACTGAAGCGGAGGTGCCATGAAGCGAACGTGGAGCTGGAGCTGGAGCTGCTGGGGCCGGGGCAGGAGCCGGGCTGGATCTGGAACTGGAAGAGTGGAGCCAGGGGTGGAGCTGGACTGAAATTGTGCTGGAACTGGAGCCGGGCTGGAGCTGGAGCTGGAGCTGGGGCCGGGGCTGGAGCTGGGGCTGGGCGTTGCCCAGCCCTGGAGCGAAGCTGACGCTGTGGCTGGAGCCTGGGCTTGGGCGAAGCAGCTGGAGGAGGAGCTGGAGCCACACACTGCGATGCGGGCATCCGGCTCAAAATCGGCCCCCGGGGAGCGGAGCTCGGGCAACTGGACCAGCACCGAAAGCTGGAGGTCCGGCTCCAGACGAGCTGACTGCCTACCAAACCACCCCAGCCCAACCCGGAGAACCGAATTTTGCCCGAATGTCGGGTTTGGGGGGGGGGTGCGGGCTCCATGTGTCTTTTCAGCGTTCCCCGACCCCCCCCACACTAGAAGTGGGGGGCAAATCGGGGCCTTCGGGTTGGGTTGGGGTGGTTTGGTGGGCGGTGACGAGCAAGAGCAGTACCCGGGTTCACACGAGCAGACGGTCGACTGCAGGCGACTGGACGATCAGGATCAAGACTGGGCGAGATGCTGCTGGGCGTTGCATAACCCTGACCAGGCATTAAGAGCCCCCCCTCGGTTATTCTTAGCACCCGTTTTTTTCAAAATTCCAGGCGGGCAGTTTTCGCAGAACGATAAACTTAGCACTCGCCGCAAACCAAAAACAAAATCCATCGGTGGCCGCCCCAAGAAGGCCAAGAGAGGGTGTCGCAACGAATGTCAAGGATCTAACCCAGATCTCTGTGGACCTCTATCCCTGGTAGGCCCTGCTAAACCCTGCTAAGCCCTGCTAAGCCCTGCGGGCCGAGGGGCCTTGCTAAGCCCTGCTAAGCTCTGCTAGGCCTTGCGAAACCCTGCCAAACCCTGCTAAGCCCTGCTACGCCCTGTGCAGGGCCTTGCTAAGCCCTGCTAGTTAAACCCTGCTAGGCAGGCCCTGCTCAGCACTGCTCTGCGCTGCTACGCCCTGCTATGGCCTGCCAGGCGTGGTCCGGGCTTGGTCCGAGGCAAAGCCCTGCGAAGCCCTGCAAGGCCCTGCAAAGCCCTGGTCCGAGCGCGGTCCGAAGCTAAGCCCTGCTAAGCCCTGCTAGCCCCTGCTAGGCGTGGGCCGGAGCGCGGTCCGAGGTTAAGCCCTGCTAAGCCCTGCTAAGCCTTGCTAAGCCCTGCTAAGCCCTGCTCAGACCTTCTAAATTTGCCCTGCTGTGCCCTGCTAAGACTTGCCAAGCCCTGCTAAGCCCTGCGAAACCCTGCTAAGCCCTGCTGGGCCCTGCACGGCCCTGCCAAACCCTGCTACGCTCTGGGAAGCCCTGCTAAACCCTAAGCCATGCTACATCCGTCTAGGCCCTGCTAAACCCTGCTACGGCCTGCGCAGGGCCCTGCCAAGCCGTGTCAATTAAGCCCTACTAGGCAAGCCCTGATCAGCCCTGCTACGCCCTGCGATGGCCTGCTAGGAGTGGTCCGAGCGTGCGCTGTCCGAGGCTAGGCCCTGCTAAGCCCTGCTGAGCCCTGCTAAGCCTTGCTTGGCCTTGCTCGGCCCTGCTAAGCCCTGCTGAGCCCTGCTGAGCCCTGCTATGCGTGGGCCCGAGCGCGGTCCGAGGTTAAACCCTGCTAAGCCCTGCTAAGCTTTGCTAAGCCCTGCTCAGGCCGGGTAAATAAGCTCCACGGTGCCCTGATAAGACCTGCCAAGCCCTGCTGAGCCCTGCTAAGCCCTGCACGGCCCTGCCAAGCCCTGCTGAGCTGTGGGAAGCCCTCAGGGCGTGCTAAGATCTCCGGTAACTGGGTAACAGTATTAACAGTATTTCTAGTTCGCGCGCGCGGGGCGGCCCCTGGGGGTCCCCCGGCGAAAAGTACCCCGACCAACGCCCGGTCGCCGCCCGGTCGCCGCCCGACCGCCGCCCGACCGCCGCCCGACCAAGTCTACTCAGAGATGGTTTTCCTTCTGGGTGCGGCCTCTCAGGCTCCCCAGAGCGCGCTCAGAGTGCCCCAAGAGGCCCCCAAGACTGCCCAAGAGGCCCCCGAGACGCCCAAAGAGCGCTCGAAGACGCCGAAGATGACCCCAAGACGGCCCAAAAGGCCCCCAAGACAGCCCAAGAGGCCTCCAAGACGCCCCAAGAGCCTTCCAAGAGGCCTCCGAAGAGAGCCCCAAGAGGCCAAAATCGTTGATTTTCATTTGTTTTTTCTATGTTTTTTGTGTTCTGGCTTTTTCGGCTTCCGGACGCTCCAAGACGGCCCAAGAGGCCCCCAAGACCGCTCCAAGACGGCCCACGAAGCTCCCAAGACGGCGCCGAAACGACCCAAGAGAGCCCTCAAGACGGCCCAAGTGCCGCCCAAGACGGACCAAGAGGCCCCAAGACGGGCCCAAGAGGGACTCA